GCGCGATCAATATCGTTCTGCTTATCTTTCTCTTAATACACTCTCATTCATGCATGGTCATTAAGAAGCACTGTTCCATATGAAGTTGATGCGTATGCAGCGGAAAAATTTTATGACATATCTTCCACTTTTTTCACTTGAAACCTGAAACTCTAATTTCTAAATTCCATTCCCGTTGTTTCTCAGACGAAATACTAATATGAATGATACCAGGGGGAGGGCTCGTATCAATGCGCCCATGAAAGGAGGGGGTTGTGAAAAATCTAAAAAAAAGGTACCATCGGTGGCTGACCCTCCTTCCCAAGCCTTTGATGGTCGCGTACAATTCACGTGCGCGGTGCGCTATGGCCGATAGCCTTCCCTGGTAGTTGTCAGGCAGCCAGATCAATACCCGCACACACCCTATGACTGTGAGGGCTCCTCACGCACACGCACGTGAATCGCACGCGGCCTAAGTGCTGGACGATTGGGTCGGGAATAAAGAGAAGCCCAAAAACGATGTAAAACAAAGTTCTGAATGCAAATGAGTCGCATATATGTATGATAGCATTCTGTACGGCGAATGAATCGAACAGTGCACATTACAGCTTTGTGTGTTTGTCGGAAAAAGCGAATAAATCTGATCTTTTCACAAGAATGGCGCGCAGTGATGTCTGCAGTCTCATCACGGGAGAAACACTCTCCTGCAATCGATTTAATTCACACATACAAGTAAGCGTAGTTCACGAAAATGAAGAGATTTCATTGCTATCCTCTCAGACTTTTACTAAACACGTCTTTGAAAATTGGGAGGTATCACAAATTTTTCAGTTGATCTACAGAAGGGGATGTAAGCACAGGAACAACACGTGTAGTCAATCAGTTCTAAAATAAATTAACGATCCTAAAATCTGTGAAAATGTTCATTTAACGTCACAATTTAGTTAACTAAGTTGTGTGAGTAGAATTTTGGGGTGAGTGTTGAAACCCATCTTCCCGCAGAATGATCAGGTCGTGATCAGGTCGAATAAGTATTATTATGTGCGCAGCACATATGTACAAACAATTACTTTTGGGGATGAAGCTCGAGCGATCGCGCAAACCTAGAAGAGGCTCTTAAAAAATTGGAGCACCTCAACTCGACATAATGAGCTAATGGTGTTTTCAAATTCGCAAAATCCCAACACCAAACCGCCTCAAAAGAAAAAAAAGGAAAAACTGAAACTGCATTTTCACGTGAATTTGGAGTTGCACGGCGAGTACTGTGGTGCAATACACATGGGCTCCAGACTGTCAACTGACATTTCAAGACTAGGAGTGTATTTTGAAGACATCGCGAGTTCTGTGGTAGATCTCACAGCAAGACATAAAGGAATTCAACCGTGAAGGAAAAAACAACCTTTACAGGTCTTCAGTCACTTGATTCAAAACCCTTTAAAATTATTTTTACCATCGGGGAAAAAAGCTAGAGAAGCTTAAGATGTAAATTTGACGGAGGAGGACCTCCTGCTCAGGAAAAAAAATCGCGACGGGACCACTTTTGTCGCTCTGATCTTAACAAGTATGATATTTTCCATAGGCACTGGAATAAGAAAATTTTCTTATTCGCACCACATAACTTCTACTATCGAAAGGTCGCCCTTGGAGTGGTTCAAGCGTGTAAAATTGCAAGGACTTGCATGTTCCAGAAATTTCCCACATTAGTTTGGGGAAAACCATTCTAATTAATTCAGCTAGCCCTCAGCACTCTTTAGCAAGTGATATTTGAGAAGCCTCAAGATAATTTTTCCAGTTTGTAGGCCGTTCACTTCGGAAAAAAGTGATAGCCATTCAGAGATGGGTGACCATTACAACCCACGCTGCCACAATTGCGCGCCCCAATGTTAACATTCCCATTGCTGCTCGCACGTTTTTGTAGGTCTTTTTTGGGGCATGGTTCGCTAGGATAGAAAGCGACTTTTATGCTTTTCGCTACAGGATTCACAGGTCCACCACTGATGAAGAATGGGCGTTCTTGCCGCAAAAGCGAAAAAATCTGTCCTGGCAAACCACAGCTCTCCTGCACATGGGTGGGATAGTGAGTCACGTTATGGAAGGGGAGGGGAGAGTAGGGAGAAATTTCCGCGACGCTACGCTTGATCCTATTCCACCCCACGCAGAAGCAATGGTAAGGGATATTGATTAAAGGAATCCTTCCTGGAAAGAAATCTTGCATTCTTTCCCAAAACGCAACGCCGGCTGTAATCATTAGATACAACATACAGTCCATATCCGGGAGACAGGGTGGGAGGGGCCAAAAGACGTGATTGCGGACTACACAAATTTGATAGTTGTCGCAGTGATCAGCTGATTTGTATTCGTCGACTTCGTTGATTTCTACTATTTTCGAATATTCCGCTGCATTTTATTATTCTCTACACTATTCTACTTCACTTCTGAACAGGTAGGTCAGTATAGCAAAAAAGTTTGCTGTCATGCATGAAATTTGAACGATTTTTTTTTGCAAATTCCGATATCAGAACGTGGTTTTTGCATGTTCGGTGAATTTTTTCCCTTCACTTTCATTTTTTATTCTTGCGTTGCATGCAGTTTCCATAGCAGTATCATTTACATGTTCTTTTAATTGACAAGAACATATTTTTGACACTGCTTATGAAGCTTGCATTCTACGAACAACGCATTTCGCGTGGACCTGCTAATATCGTGGTTTGTTTTTTTATTATTACTTTTACCTTTTTCTTTTCGACTTGTTCTTCATTGTGGCATCTTTTATGTGTTTCCTTCGTTGTGTGGAACACTATTTGATGCTGTTTTGAAGCAACTTGTCACTTTCTGCATGTGTTTGTTTCTTCAGAGTAGTGCAGCAATCGCCGCCCATTTGCTTGTTGCGTAAGGTTTCTTTGTTCGTTTTTCATTTTGCTTTTCCTCTTTTCGACTTGTTCTTCATTGTGGCATCTTTTATGTGTTTCCTTCGTTGTGTGGAACACTATTTGATGCTGTTTTGAAGCAACTTGTCACTTTTCTGCATGTGTTTTTCCAGGTAGTGCAGCAATCGCCGCCCTTTTGCTTGTTGCGTGAGGTTTCTTTTCGTTTTTCATTTTGCCGTTTTCCTCTCGACATCTTCTTTTTCACTTTTTCTTTTCCACTACCATCCAATAAACATTATTCATTGTCTATTTAGTCATTATTTATTCATGGATAACTGTATGCCACAGAAACAGCAACGTACAGAGGCATGCAGTCGAAGGATATGATCGTAAACCAGATATGAAAAGGAAAATCAAACCATGCTTGTGAAAAGTCTGATACGATTATTCATGCAAGCCCAGAAATAACAGTACAACGAAAGCAGTACGTCAAAAAAGCGTTTTCAGTGCCTTGGACAGGTGTTACGAAAGCTTGCGACAGCCGTAGTGAGAAATAGCGACCAAACACTCCGCAAGGTAAAGGAATTCCTTAAACAGAATAAAAAAGTTTCGGAAGTGAACATTGGGCTTGGTTTTCGAAACGAGGTTTGAAAAAAGCTGCATTTTTGAAATTGCTTACCGAGAAACCGATGGAACTGTGACAACTGCAGCACGACCTGAAGACGTGCACGCACAAAAGCGACGACTTGCTTCAAAACAGCATCAAATAGTGTTCCACACAACAAGGAAACACATAAAAGATGCTGTGATGAAGAACATGTCGAGAGGAAAAAGGCAAAATGAAAAACGAAAAAGAAACCTTACGCAACAAGCAAAAGGGCGGCGATTGCTGCACTACCTGGAAAAACACATGCAGAAAAGCGACAAGTTGCTTCAAAACAGCATCAAATAGTGTTCCACACAATTAAAGAAACACATAAAAGATGCCACAATGAAGAACAAGTCGAAAAGAAAAAGGTAAAAGTAATAATAAAAAAACAAACCACGATATTAGCAGGTCCACGCGAAATGCGTTGTTCGTAGAATGCAAGCTTCATAACAGTGTCAAAAATATGTTCTTGTCAATTAAAAGAACATGTAAATGATACTGCTATGGAAACTGCATGCAACGCAAGAATAAAAAATGAAAGTGAAGGGAAAAAATTCACCGAACATGCAAAAACCACGTTCTGATATCGGAATTTGCAAAAAAAATCGTTCAAATTTCATGCATGACAGCAAACTTTTTTGCTATACTGACCTACCTGTTCAGAAGTGAAGTAGAATAGTGTAGAGAATAATAAAATGCAGCGGAATATTCGAAAATAGTAGAAATCAACGAAGTCGACGAATACAAATCAGCTGATCACCACGACAACTATCAAATTTGTGTAGTCCGCAATCACGTCTTTTGGCTCCTCCCACCCTGTCTCCCGGGTATGGACTGTACAAAGTTTCACGCCCGAAGACATAGCTTCCGAAGAGAAACAAATTACGCAAAGCATGAACGCTCGGAGGTAGGTTGCGCGGCGCCAAGAGCGGGCATGGAAAGAGGTGTGCTACAGGGCGGCCACAATCAGGCGACGCATTCAGAGAATCGGGTTGGGCATTCGATTTAGCAGAATGGAGGCAAACGATCGATAGAATAGGATGAGATGGTGCAGTAAGGTGAAGAGGTAAAAAACAGTTCCTGGCGAGGACATTTCGAGAATCAAGTGGAAGCATTCCCGTTGCTAGCATTCGTGACAGCGGTTCGTTCAGTGGTGCTTTCTGCGCATAGCAGTTGCCCTTTGGGTTTTTTGATAATTTTTTGTTACAAAAACAAGTGATTTTTCGTTCTTCTCAATCTTATCGTGAGCGATAGGTCTCAAGCCAGTGAGTTGTGGGAGAGTTAGGATCATGATTTTTCCGAGAAGTATTCTCTTGAATGAAAATAGAGTGAAGTTCAACTGAGGAGCTCCAAACTAGCTGGAATAAAAACACAACTATACAGCAGAGCAGGAAAAATGCTGAAGAGCCTGGTTCATTACTTAGGATCATTTTTGAATTCTTTTCTATTGGCATACGTAATTATGGCCTTTTTCATTACATAGCCACTATCCATTTTGTATTGCGTTAAACGACATAATTGTTTTCAACACAGAAAAAACGCACTTTCTCATTGAACTCGGCGTCCGTAAGGCAACCGTCGTAGATCCAGTTTGGTGGCTCAAAAAGAGCGTAGCGAATCTAAATCAGAAAACATAGATGTAAAACAACTTTTGTGACAGGGAAAGTTCGTGCTCACAGTTTTTTGGTTTCCTTCATCAAAATTGTTACTGAATTAATGAAGGTAACAATGAGTGGGGCATTACGTGAGCATACAAAAACGTGCTCTTCCAAGGATTCCAAACTTAGGCCTACTCACAACATTCACAGCACTCTCTTACTGACTATAACTCTTCGATCGTTCTGAACTTCTTGGGTGACCCCGTAGCGTTACACCATAGCTAAGCAGTTGGGATTGGAAAACCCCTTCGAATTTGTGCCACTAGGTCGAGCGACAGCAAAGGGAACTTAAGTTGAGTCAAAACAAATGAGTAGCGATTTCGTACGCGTACAACTAGACCGTAGTCTTCGCTTGCACAAACTGGTGTTCAGCGCTTGTCATTCAAGAGCAAGCTCCTCACACAACTTGAGTAACATTCATGAGTTTGGCTTCAGTTTGTGGTATTTCCCCCAAGAAGCTTTTGTTCCACATTGTAAGAGCACAGAGAATTTCAAACCGGTTTTGTGTGATGCGGAGGATGAAGGTCGCGTGGCATCGGGGTGAGTTTACGTCCGACACCGGTTGGGATGGCGTACGATGGTGCCAGCCCCATTCTCGCGGAACTGGTAGAGGTTGGCGCGAGCAACGTTGTCGGCGTGGTGGTCGACGTCTTCTTCTCCTCGTGCTTCTCCTGAGAAAGTTCTGCGGTCAAAGGATTGCACATGTGATTTAGGAGCGTCGGCAGTGACATACAGTGCGTCTCCTAATTATACAGCCACCTAGAAATTGTTCAAAATCTCGAATTCCACAAAGTTTATGGAAAAATGTCCAACAGGAAAACTGTGTCAAATTTGGTCGCGAATTCGAAAATCAACACAAAATTCCAGGTTGAAAATGCGAAAAAATTTTTATCCAATTTTTCCAAAAAGCGTCGCTTTTCCATCGTCTCCAAATGATACAGCCACCCCGTGTTTCTTCGTTGCATTTCATTTCTGATCGATGAAACTGATTGGCAGTCTCAATTGTTCTTTCTTAGGTTATCAGGAAAGGAAAGCAACTATTGGACTTTGAAAAAGGGGAAATCGTCACAAAATAAGAAAAATTAAGCGCCAGGTGGTCACATCGCGCGAAAATTTCGTCGAGCTACGGAATGATTAGCAATTTCTTTTTGAATCCTGTAGAAAATGGAACTTAGAAGGGCTCCGGACGTTATTCTTCGCTTTTTGATTAAGATAAACGCGACATTATGAGAACAGCACCAAATTTCACCAAGGCGGTTCGGAAATTGAGTCTTCTTTAGAACTTAATCTCCTACTGGATAGTGCTGGGAATGCAATAAACAACTTCCAAGATCGTTCTCAGCTGAATATGAAAAGGACGGTGATTTTGAAAAGAAACCGTCGCGAAAACCGAGTCATTTTTGCAGGGGAATTCCGACCAAGCCAACCGGAGCAGGATCCATTTTCGGCCTGTTGTGTTTTACTTCTTATCTGCTTTACCTTTGACTTTCTCCTCGCTATTAAAAGCATTACTCCAGGACGGAACCATCTGGAGCGAAACGCGTTAAAAGAGTGGCAGAAAAGAAGTAGTTTCATCGAATCAGAAATGAAATGCAACGAAGAAACACGGGGTGGCTGTATCATTTGGAGACGATGGAAAAGCGACGCTTTTTGGAAAAATTGGAATAAAATTTTTTCGCATTTTCAACCTGGAATTTTGTATTGATTTTCGAATTCGCGACCAAATTTGACACAGTTTTCCTGTTGGACATTTTTCCATAAACTTTGTGGAATTCGAGATTTTGAACAATTTCTAAGTGGCTTAATAGGAGACGCAGTGTAGAGTGCTAAAAGTTGCACAAGAGTTGTGTAGAACGTCAAGGATGGAAGCAGTATTGTAT